TTGTTAATTTTGGTTCTTTCTTCTTTTTGGATGTGTATACTTATTGCAATAAATTGTTCTCTCAGCACTGCTTTCACCGTGTCCAAAAGATTTTGGTATGTTGTGTTTTCATTCTCATTTGTTTTAAAAACTTTGTGAATTTACGTTTTAATTCATCTGCTATCCAGTTGTTTTTCTGCAGGGTGTTATTCAGTTTCCATGTATTTGACTTTATAGTATACATATTTTTATAAGCCCAAGGAAACACTGAAGCTTTCAAGATAAAAAAATCACCACAGTAATATCTAAACAAATCTGTATATAAATCATAGTAATATATATCCATCAAATAATATTTTATAAAACTGCCAAATATGTAGGAGTCCTAGTGTGGTGCTTGGGTTAATGTGCTGGATTGCAGTGTTGGTTTGATCTGCGAGGTCTGCCATTCAAGCTCATTATCCACAACTCAGAAACCCTATACAGGATTACTATGGGTTGGAACCGACTTGATGGCACTTAACAACAACAACAAATCCAAATATGAAAGTTTAAAAATATTTCTAATATTTGCTCGCAAATAAAGAATTTTATATTGTCCACTTCACCTTTCTTATTGTAGTGACTAGCTCTTAAAAAAATACAGCATTGTTTTTATACTTTGCCTGTTGTGCTGTTGCTCAGTGCCTTCAAGTCAGTCTGACCCATGGTGACCCTGTATAGGGTTTCCGAGGAGCAGCTGGTGAATTTGAGCTGCTGACCTTGTGGTTCAACCTGACCCTGCGGTCCAGCACTTTTTCCCACAGCTCCCCACCAGGACCAGATTTGCGTATTATAGTGCCCTTTATTCCCTTTGCACTAGATTAACAGGGAAACTGCCCTCCTATTTGTTTTACATTTCCATAGTACTCTCATGAAAATGTATTAGGACAGAAATAGTATTGTTTTCATAACTGTTAGTGGCAATATGTGGAGTGTGATTGCTCTGTAGGGTAAGCATCGGATTGCTAATCACAAGGTCAGTGGTTTAAGCCCACTAGCTGCTCCATGAGTGAAAGATGAGGCATTCTGCTCCTGCAAAGATTTACAGCCTTGAAAACCCTGTAAGTCAGAACTGACTCAGTGGCACTTAATCAATGGCAGTAGTAATAAATTGGTGGTAAAATGAGTACTAGATGGAATAAAGGCCAGACTATGGACCTCTGAGTAAGAGTGATTGGGAGAGACCCCACTCAGCAAATTACTAGCTCTGTGATCTTGGCAAATTATTTAAGTTTTCTTGGCTCTGGCTTTTTTGTTTTTATTTTTTCTAATACTTTACAAGAGTTCAGTAAATATTAACTATGTAATGGGTGTTGTTAGGTGCCTTGGAGTCCGTACTGACTCATAGCAACTTTAGTCACAGCAGAAGAAAACACTGCTCGGTCCTGAGCCAGTGTCACAATTGTTGCTACACTGGGTCCATTGCTGCTGCCACTGAGCCAGTCCATCTCGCTGGGAAATGGCTTGGCACAGTGGCAGCAACAGTGGACTCAAGCGTAGCAATGATTGTGAGATTGGCACAGGACTATACAGTTTTTATTTCATTTGTGCATAAGGTCACTATGAATTGGGAGTCCTGATGTGGTGCTGTCGGATAATGCACTGCACTGTAAAGTCTATTTGAACCACAGGGTTGGTGGCTCAAATTCACCAGCCGCTTCTTGGAAACCCTATACAGGGTCACTATGAGTTGGAACTGACTTGGAAAACACTTACCAACAACAACAACAATAAATATTATTATTTATTTGGTTTAAGCATTTTAGGTTGTGAACTAAACGTACACGTACTTGTGTGGTGGTGGTGGTGGTTCTGATTCATAGTGGCCCTTTATAGGGTTTACAGGAGCAGACAGCCTTATCTTTCTTTTGCATACTTTTGTATATATGATTTATTCATTTGCAGTATAGAACATGTTGACTGTTAACTCTCCAATCTGGGATTAGAATGTCTTCTTATGTGATAGTCCAATTACCTTTAAAAATAGTAATTGCATCTGTTGTGAGCTATGAGTAAAATTTTCAGGACCAAATGTCCATGTAATAAGAAAACATTTGAATTAAACTCACTTTAATAATATTTAACTGCCTACCACATGCAAACCAATACAGGTAATATACAAATACAAAAAATAAAGTTCCTCTCTTCAAGTACTTACCCATTTAACAAAGAGGATAGGGAAATAAGAGAGCAAATCTACTATTTTAAACAGTCCAATGGAGGGAGGGTAGGATATCAGAAGGAAATACTTCTGGCCAGATTAGTAATAGAAACGGAAAGCCAGTTTAAACTTTATGGGGCTCAAAGGGTAAATAAACTGGGCTATACACTGTACTTTGGTGATTTCATATTAAGTAGTCTCTAAATTGATGAAGAATATTGAATAATACCCTGGACTGACAAAAGAATGAGAATGAACAAATCTGTCTTGGATGAAGTACAGCTAGAATGCTTCTTAGAAGCCAGGATGGTGATTCTTCATCTCACATACTCTGCACATGTTATCAGGAGGCAAAGACATCATGCCTGGTGCCCCTCAAAACTAATTTTCAGGAACTGTTGGAAGATTTAGCTGTCAACTAAAAAGAGGAAGACCTCCAATGGGATCAAACATAGCAATGGTTGTTTGAGAATGGTGCAGGACTGAGCAGTGTTTACTCTCTTGGACACAGAGTCATTATGAATTGGCACTGACTCATTGGTACCTAACAACAACAACAACAACAACAACAACAACAACAACAACATTAGTTCGGCTTGCAATCTACACTTACCTCTGACTACATTCATAAACATCTACAGGCATATTACTTGTTAAAAGTTCAGTGCATAGTACACAGAAAGGGATATAAGTATAATACTTCAGTAAGAGAGGCGTAAGACATGAGCAGAAATGTAGAGCGAAGACAACATGGTATTACATAATGAAGATTCAAGTTAAGCAGGAATATACATTTTGTGTAGAGGTTATAATTAGGCGATATATTTGGAGGGCTAGGTTGGTGTCATATCTGATGATCTTTAAATATCTTTAATTTAATTAAAAAATGAGGCTCCCTGGAAGAATTTTGCATGGAGGATGGTGAGGGTAGCAGTGGCTAACTGATACAGTTGTAGTCTCTGTTTCTGTATGTTTATTACATTCCTGGCTTTATCTTTTTCAGGAAGTTCATGATTTGTTACAAGACTATGAGTTAAAGTATTGTTATGTGGACAGAAATAAACGAACAGGTAGGACTTAATTATAAGCATGTAATGAAAAAGTATTCTATCATGTAAATGTTACTCAGAAAATTTATTTTTGAAAGTAATATTAGTACCCTAAAATATAATCTCTTAGATTAATATATTGTGACTAGAGAGTTGTGGGTTTTCATCATGAATGTGTATTCTCCATAGAGTTGATGTCACTCAAAGCGACTTTTCCTGTAGTGTTGGAAGAGTTAGCTGTTGCTTTGGTAGTAGTTTCCTTGCATGTACAGTCTGTGTTAGATGAAAATACATTTATTTAAATCTTAGCATCACATTCAATGTGGTGAGATGCTTACACGCTGAGAGCCACACAGGCACTAAGACCAACGGAGAGAGAGAGAAGAGCAGATTGGATGAAATGTCAGGCAGAGTTGCCCAGCTTATTTAAACTCTTTTTCTCTCTTGCTACATACTTATGTGCAATGTTGTTAAAGTTGGATTTGGGTAAGTTAAATGCTCAAATAGAGCAACTCCACAGTTTGTTCAAATTTAGAGAAACAGGGAAGGAGGAAAAAGGGAAAGAGGAGGACCTGAGAAGATGAAGGAAGAGAGGGAGAAACATTATTTGTGATTTCTGGATTGCCATATGTTATTTCTTTGCATGGGGCTTCAAGCAGTTCTTATCAAATTGCACAAAATCTTTATATTTTTTATTCTTATAACAGTTGCTGTTGTTGTTGTTTGCTCTTGTGTCTGTTCCGACTCATAAAGGGTTCCAAGGAGTGGCGGGTGGGTTTGAACCACCAATCTTAGATAAATTGATATGGTTAAATTTTAATTTTTAAAGACATATAAAAACATTTTGCATGATATATTGTTGATTTTCAATCTTATATTTGTATCATGTTGTAAATTTTACAAGTTTATGTGTATTTATTATTTAAGTTAAATGCTCAAATAGAGCAACTCCACAATTTGTTCAAATTTAGAGAAGAGGGAAGGAGGACAATAACTTCATTAGGTAGACAAGACAGATGTTTTTTATTGTTTGACAAAGATTCAAAATTAAGCAATTTGTCTGAGATTATAATCTTGAGCTTTTCCTAGCCCATATTTTTCATCAAAATGTATACCAAATTGTGTGTATTGTTTCAATCTAGTTAATCTGATTTTAAGAAAACATGTAAATGAGTCAGAGAAATAATCGGCTTCCTTTTGGGAATTTTACTCTCCTGTTTTAATTTTACTTTCCTTTTTGCTATACCTTTATTGTTTCAGATCCTTGTTATTACATCCCAAGGTATAAGGGAAAAATATATTGTATGAGGTTAGAAAAGTTCACTACAACAGACAACAGAAAACAACAGAATATTTTAGGATCCTATAGTGAACTTAGTATAATTTCTGTACTTTTTATTTGTGTTGTTGTTGTTGTGTGCCGTGGAGTCAGTTCTGACTCATAGTGACCCTGTACAGGGTTTCCGAAGCTGCAAATCTTTACGGGAGCAAAAAGCTTCATCTTTCTCCTGCGAACAGCTGGTAGTTTCGAACTGCTGACCTTGCGATTCACAGCCCAATTCATAACCACTGTACTATACTGATCATGAAATTAGTGTGGTGGTTGTGGGAGAAGGGTGTCAGCATTTAAAAAAAACACAACAGTAATTAGAATCGAGAACATCAGAATGCATTGAATATAGTACTGTTTCATGATTTTTTTTTCCAGAAATATGTATGTGTATACTGAGTCACAGACATAAAATATATTTCTTATTGGGTATCATGGTCAAAATGGAAACTAGTGGCCTAGAAAATGCTTTCATTCATTTTGTTTTCTTCCAGCTTTTGTTACATTATTGAATGGGGAGCAAGCCCAGAATGCAATTCAGATGTTTCATCGCTATTCTTTTAGAGGAAAAGATTTAGTAGTTCAGCTCCAGCCTACTGACGCTTTGCTGTGTATTACCAACCTGCCCATTTCTTTTACGTTGGAGGAGTTTGAAGAACTTGTTCGTGCGTATGGAAATATTGAAAGATGTTTTTTGGTCTACAGTGAAGTTACTGGCCATTCCAAAGGCTATGGGTTTGTAGAATACATGAAAAAGGACTTTGCTGCAAAGGCTAGACTGGAGCTATTGGGTAAACAGCTAGGCACATCCGCTCTCTTTGCCCAGTGGATGGATGTTAATCTCTTGGCCTCAGAGCTCATTCACTCTAAGTGCCTTTGCATAGATAAACTCCCTAGTGACTGCAGGGATTCACAGGAGCTCTTGCACTTGTTTTCCAGTGTCCATAAACCTGTGTTTTGCCAGGTAAGTATATTTAAAATGGCACTAGAAATATTTAAATGCATATTTAAAACATGCTTATATATATATATATATATATATATATATTCTACATACACTCACACATTTATTTAGCACAGCTCTTTAACTATCACGGTGAATCATCTTAATTCTTTTGTAGTCTGTAATGAAGGGTACTCTGCTGGGGAATTTTTCATCAATTCCTTCTGTTGTTGGTGGGCCATAACTATTTTGTTAGATATTTTCCAAGGGTCAGTCAATAAGCATTGCTACAAAATCATAGCAACATTTATTAAACAAAAATAAGAAAATGTGAGGATATTGTTTCTTTACATCATTTCAAAATGGCAGTTTTGACCTACTCAAATTATGTTCCTTTGAAACGTCTTTTGAGTTTAGGGAACAAAAAGAAATCTGAAGGGACAAGATTAGAACTGTAGGGTGGATGGGGTAATGTTTCCCATTGACATTCTTAAAGGACAGTCTGTGTTTCTCTCTCTCTATGTGTATATATATGTGTGTGTGTGTGTGTGTATGTATATATATATGTTGGTTGTGTGCTGTGGAGTCGGTTCCGACTCATAGCAAGCCTGTACAGGGTTTTCGAGGCTGTAAACCTTTACGGGAGCAGAAAGCCTCATCTTTCTCGCATGGAACAGCTGGTAGTTTCAAACTGCTGACTTTGCTGTTCGCAGCTCAATTCGTAACCACTACACTACCAGAGCTCCATATATATGTGTGTGTGTTTGTGTGTGTGTGTACATATATATATATACTCTCTCTCTAATCCCAACATGTTGTTGTTGTTGTTAAGTGACGTCGAGTGGATTCCGACCCATAGCAACCCTGTATAGGGTTTCCAAGGAGCATATGGTAAGCTTGAACCACCGACCCTGCAGTTCAAATGACTATGCAGTCTGATACATTAGCCCACAGCGCACACCACGACTCCAATCACAATATAGAAGACATCAAAGAAACAGTCCTCAAACTTTATAATGTTAGAATATTTTATGGCAAATCTTTGCCCAGTTACTAAACTTAATTGATTTATTGATATGCTATTTTTGAACACTTAAGAACTGGTTATTGATATCCTATGCCACACATGGACTCCTGGTGTGATGCTGTAAGCTCAATGCTTTACTGCAAACCACAAGGTCAGCAGTTCAAATCCACCAACCGCTCCTCAGAAACCCTATACAGGGTTGCTATGAGTGAGACCTGACCCAAAGACGCTTAACAACAACAATGCCACACATACTTATTTGAAGCTTCATTTGAGACCTTTGAAACTAATGTTAGAACAAAATTCATATATCACAAATTGTATTTGAATTATGAATTCCAGAGATAGAAGAGACCTTAGAGGTTGTCTAGTCTAACTTTACACATGGTACAAAAATGTTTGTGATAATAATTTTGACTGGTCATTTAGCTTCTGCTAAAATACTTCAAAATCATGGAAAATTAATTTGATCATCATCAGACCTTGCCATCTTTGAGCGGCTCTCACATTGAACTGAACTATTTCCCTCTGCAGCTGCTGATGCTGTGGATATAAAAGTATTTTGTCTTTTGAAAGCCTAGTAGTATAGTGGTTATGAGTCGGGCTGCTAACCTCAAGGTCAGCAATTTGAAACTACCAGCTGCTGTGTGGGAGGAAGATGAGTGAGGCTTTCTGCTCCCGTAAAGATTTACAGCCTCGGAAACCCTGTGCAGGGTCGCTATGGGTAGGAACCTGACTCCACTGCACACCACCACCATAGAGTAAAGGAATGTTAAGTTTCATAAAGAAGAGGAATGTTAAGTTTCAGAAATAAGAGAAAAGAAACAAACAAGATCTAAGAAAGTATTTAGTTGTATTATTAACTTATGACATATCCAGCCTAAGTAGATGTACTGTAAATGTATATACCTTCACAAATTGTATCAAGCTATATTGTGTCCCATTTATCACTTTATACTATAAATGTATTTCAGAAAATTCAGACATATTTAAAATTTAGAAGCTTTTCAATGTCTCAGATCGTTCTTATGCTTGCTCTTTGTGCCAGTCTTCACACATCCAGGATTTTAACATCTTCCTGTAAACTCTTATAGGCGGGTGACTTGAAACAAACTGTTTTACGTGGTAGGAATTTATTTCGGGTACCTTGAGAAATGAAGGTTTATGTTGCATATGGTATTCTAACAAACCTTGGGCACAATTTTCCTAAATAAGATTTGCTTTTGCATACTCAACCAAATTCCTGGGATCTGTTCTAAGTTGAAATAAAACTAGAATATAATTTCAACTATTTTCTTCCCTTGATTGTTGTTAAGTGCCATCAAGTCGGTTCCGACCCATAGCGACCCCGTATAGAGTTTCCAAGGAGCAGCTGGTGAGCTTGAACCACCGACCTTGAAGTTCAAATGACTTTGCAGTCTGGTGCATTAACCCACAGCGCCACACCAGGGCTGCTTCTTCCCTTGATAGTTCTAACTTTATTTTACAAAGATATATGCTCAGATAACTATTGCACAGTATGTTTCACTGCCTAGGTATCTAGTGAGTTTTGTTTCAAAGAAAGCTTAAATTACTCTGTCCCAATATTGCCCCACAAATTACCAGTTATATGTATTTTATAATGTGTAAGGAGTGCTATTGTTTGGGTTTTGACTTTTAAAATAATGTGTAATAACAAAGCATGGAACTCAGGGTTGATAGGGATGGGCAACTTAGACATTGGCTACCTAAAGTGGACTGCCTATAAAGACATGAAGTGGCTGGCTTACAAGTTTTCAAAAGGGAGTTTAGTTGCAGAGTGTGCAAGGTAGGGTAGAATCCCCACTGAATAGTTTTCTTCTTGTCTTGATGGGTCTAGTGAAAGGAGATGGGGATAAGATTCTTATGATTCAATAGTGAGTAATTGTTATCATGACTAGTTGTGATTGTCTCAACTGTAAAGGTAGAAGTCTTGTAACAAAAAGTGGGGAGTAGTTAATTGGACCATCAGGGGAGAAGAGCATGAGTGGAATGTGGGACCCTATCCAGTTAAGTAGCGACACCAGAGATGGAGGCAGAGATGAGGAAATGGAGAGAGAGAGCAGCTGAGGACTATAGACTCTTGGAAAGAGAAAGGCTTTGTGCTGGCGGCTAGGAGGCAGGCTTGTAGAATGTGCCCTTAGATTGTTTAAATGATTATATATTCCTCAGTGTTTTTGTGTCACCAGAAACAAAAACAAAACAAAACAAAAAACCAGAGGGAATAGAAGCAAATACTCTTGAATAGCAATGCATGGAGGGGATTGTAATCATTTTAATGAAACAAAATACAATAGGATGAGTACAAAGTCTATGTTCTCCCAAGTAAACGATATAACTCAATTTACAATAATAGCTTTAAAAAAAAAAAAAAACATGGAAAAGAAACTTGAAGGAATCTTGTTTCTCTTCCTGTCTTCAGGAAGAACTGCAGCTAAGCAGCTTGTAAACGTGTATTTTCAGAGAGGAAGCGTGTACTATTTTCACCAGCATCATGCTCTGAAATACATTTGTTCTGGAATTCGAAAGTTATATAATGTAAGTAAATGTGTCTAATGCCAAAATTTCCCTTTTGATAAAATGTATTACATCAGCTTGCACAGGATGAAGGCAGTTACGTTGGTGGCTTTGCAGTAGTTGAATATAACACAGCAGAACACGCTGAGGAGGTTCAGCAAGCAGCCGATGGCATGACCATTAAGGGAAGCAGAGTCCAAGTTTCCTTCTGTGCCCCAGGAGCACCAGGAAGAAGCACATTAGCAGCACTGATAGCAGCTCAACGCGTGGTAAGCTTTATCCCCATCTCCTTGTTGGTGTTGTTAGTAAGTGCTGTTGAGTAGGTTCCAACTCACAGTGACCCTAAACAGGGTTTCATAGGCTTTTTAAATCTTTATGGGAGCAGAAAGCCTCATCTTTCTCCCACTACTTTCCTATAGAACCACCCTCTCTTTAGGCTATAAATGAATTATAATACAATTTCATCCTTCCTTGTATAAAGTCACTACTTCAGCTTCATTTCCTTAATTTTCTCTTTGTTGGATTGGATTTACAGAGTTTTCAATTCTGAACTGGTCTAGTCAACTACTTGTGGAACCAGGCTTCTGTGTCCTCTTGGAGGAAAACAAGCAACAAGGTGGCTTGATGCCAACACAAATGTGTGACATACATTTATAGCTGGCCCTTTAGTGCCCCCAGTGAATCTTATGCTCGTCTCTCATCAGCTGTTTTTCATTTTCTACATCAACCATCTCAGGCCTTCACTATATTGTAGTCTCTCCCCATTTTTCTCTGATGTTCACAACTCATACTTTATAAAAAATTATAGACTAATTCATTCAACTTTTCTTAGACACACCAGCAATTGTATTTTATATACTCCCATATTTTACTTCCTTCTCTGTCCTTGGATGTTGCACACACTCACTGTTAACCAGAAGATTGAAGGTTCAAGGCTATATAGAAAGACTTGGCAATCTACTTCTAAAAGATCAGCCTTCATTTTTCCTTTGTTGGTTAGGATTTGCTTACTGAAAGCCCTATGGTGACATATCTGGTGCTGATAATGAGTCAGAATTGACTCAACCTCAGCTGATTTTGTCTTTTCTCTTTTCATTCATTTTACAAATATTTGTTGGGTGCCCACTACAAGCTGCTGCTGTGTTTTTGGTGAGTTTCCAACCCATGTTAGCTAAATTGCATTTGTCATAAAATAGATTTTATTTGATGTATGAGAATTTTTGAAAGAAATCATGAAAAAGTTATCCCTGTGTTTATCCTTGTTCTAATGTTTCCTACTTCTCTATTCATTGAAGATGCACAGTAATCAAAAGGGCTTACTTCCAGAGCCAAATCCAGTACAAATTATGAAAAGTTTAAACAACCCTGCCATGCTGCAAGTTCTTCTGCAACCCCAGCTATGCGGACGAGCTGTTAAACCAGGTAAGAATTAATGTTCAACTAAGTATAAAATGTTGTGTTGCTTTACTTGAAGAAAATTAGATTAAAAATACTTAATTATTCTTGACTGATTATCAGTAAATTTTAATCAGGGATCTGAGGTGATAATAAGTTTTGCCTGTTTTTGGTATGCCCAACCTGTTTATATGTTTCCTTTTTTTCTGTAAATAATTGTTAGATAATAAACCTTCAGTTTAGCTCCTAGTTGATAGGAATATATGGACTAGGTACTAAATGACATACAGTATTGTTGTGACCTACACTAATAAAGGAGTCCTGGCGTGGCGCTGTAGGATCAGCACTGGACTTCTAACTAAAAGGTCAATGGTTTAAACCCACCAGCTGTTCCTCAGAAACCCATACAGGGTCAAAACTGACTCAGAAACACTTAATAACAACAACAATAGCAACAATGACACTAAGAAATGATAGGATACTATTTTAGGAACATTTTTCAGCCAACGTGCTAAAAGTCTGTTACCTTTTTCTTTTTTTTAGAAAAATTAATCGACTTTAATTTTTAGAAAAGTTGTAAGTTTACAGAAAAATTGATCAGATAATCGGGTTGTTACTTGTTGTTAAGTGCTGTTGAGTCAGTTTTGACTCACAGCAACCCTGTATAGGGTTTCAAAGGAGCGACTGATGGGTTTGAATCATCAACCTTGCAGTTACGCAGTCCAATGCTGATGCTACAG